AAGACATTATATTTAATCCCATTTTACAAATGAGAAAATCAAGACAAGAAGTCAAGAAACACATTAAGCTAGTCAACAGGAGAGCCAGAATTTAAATTGAGGCAACCTGGTCCCATAACGCACACTCTCAACAGCCAACTAAGACACTAAACCAAGCATGTCAAACTCAAAGGCTAACAAGTGCCAAATAAACAAGGTTTAAGTTTATGTGGGCTGAAAAAAAAAGCTTCAATTTTCATAGAAACAGGTTTATTTCGATAGGGACATGCTGAATACAAAGGGCTGAAATAAATGAGTAGTCGTTAACATAAAATAATAGAACATTTTAATAAAAAAGACACTGAATAACTACAAATTAATAAGCAGAACGCAAGTAAACCTATTTTTCTTGTTCTCTGAAAGCAAAATATTTCCTGTTGCGCACACCAAACAAGTCAGTACAAGACTAATGATGTGGCAATCCAGCTGCTAAAATATTCCCTGCTAGTATTAGTGGAGAGAAATGGTGCACCGGCGCGTAAGGGAAATGAATGCAACATGATTATAGTGATTAGTCATTAGCGAATGTTGTACTTCGTTATTAATAATTATGTATAACAGGGTATTGTAAAAATTTACAAAATTTTTATTAAAACGTTTCTTACATACCATTATGTTGGCTGAGCCACAAAAATATTCGTTGTGGGCCGTGAGTGTGACATGCTTGCACTAAACTATACTAAAAGTCAAAGGTCTCAGACTAAAGAAATCTATGTGCCAAAAATGACCCCTTACCCTGACAGTCTTCAAATTCATGCATCCTTTCCTTCCCCTTGATTTTCCTACAAATCAGTCACACTCCACCAGTTGGTCTTCCCTTCCTCCATACGCACAAGCACTTCAAGACGATAATCAGTCAGCAGTGAAGGAGCAGGGGGATCCACACAAGCTCCCACTCCCACTTCCAGGGTTTCCTGTCTTCCCTCGCAGTTGATGCACAACTGTTAATAAACCTGCCTGATTATGAAGTCCACAAAGCCTCAGACCATGAGCCCAACCAGTTCATGGGAGAAGCCAGAGAACGGAACATATGTGTGTTTCTGTTTCCACATGATAAATATGGGGTATGGTCTGATTTCCGCTCATTGCTGCCTTTTGCAACAGGATCATACAAAGAACTCTGAATTATTTTGAGAATAATAATTCTTTTCTAGGATATCAACTTTTCTCAGACACAGCTTGAAGATACATACACTAAGCGGGTTTAGCTGAAGACGCCACAAATGTTGGCTCCTTTTCCAAATCAAGAGAAACAGTGTGCATGCATGAACACACACACACCTATACAGTATATTATTTTTTATTCAACTGATTTTTGTTGATCATGTACTAAGTACTTCAATGCATATAAAAATGTATTAGTTGCAAACAAATGTTCATAGCAGCATTATCTCAAGAGTGGAAAGTGGAGACAACTAAACATCCATCAATAAATGAATGGATAAACAAAATGTGGTATCTCAAAACAATAGAATATATTCAGTCATAAAAAAGAAATTCTGACACATACTACAGAATGGATGAACCTTAAAAACATTATGCAAAGTGTAAGCCAGTCACAAAAGAACAAATAATGTAGGATTCTAATTACATGAAATATCTAGAATGGGCAAATCCAGAGATAGCAAGCAGATTAAAGGTGAGTGAATAGTGGGAATGGAGTCTTTTTGGGGTGATGGAAACATTCTCTATTGAACTACCAGTGGTAGTTGTACAACTCTGAATATGCTAAAAACCATCATATTATCAACGTTGAAAGGGTGATTATTTTAGGTATATGAAAAACATCCAAAAACAGCCGAGGTCTGCCTGACCTCCTTGTTTGTGGTTTATGGAGTCATAGATGACTAGCTAGGATGGCACCAGCTTTAGAAATAAATGGAGAAAGGGTGTCAAAATCTTTCTCCCCTTGCCCAACTGCATCTCCTCCAGGGAGTAAGGAAGAAAAGTGGGGTTCACCTTTAGAAGTGCTGGTTTTTCAGTGTGGCAGGCTGACTAACTAAACTTTAACAAATAGGAAACCTAAGCTGATAGGGCAGGCCCGCTGACTGAGGAAGGGGTTAAAAGTGCGTGAGCATCTGTGGTTACACAGGCAGTTCCTCTCCATGGCTCCCAGCTTTGCTCACTATCAGAGAAGTCCCACCAAAGCAAGAAGCACCAGCAGGAGATTGGAGCACCAGCAGGAGATTGGAGGTACATGGAGAAGAGGGAAGGAACCAAGGCACAGCCCCTTTCCCCGGACTGGCCCCATCATCTCCAGTTCCAGACCCCACCCCACCCCCAAAGCCTAGCAGTGGGAAGTGGGCTTCTAGCTGACCCACTAGCTTGGTTTTCTCCACCATAGGTGTGACCAATCCCTTTCATGTCTTCCTTATTAGACCCTCACTGATACATCAATGGTTGTCAAAGGAAAGATGTTTGTAAACACTAGACACTAGCTGCTACGGGCTGAATGCTTGTGTCCTATCCCCTCCCCCACAACCCCTGCCAAAATTCATATGTTGAAGCCCTAACCCCAGTGTGATGATATTTGGAGGTGGGGCCTTTGGGAGTAGTTTGGTTTAAAGTAAATCATGTGGGTGGGGCCCAGGCTGGTGGGGCTCAGTGGTTAGAGAGTTGGCCTGGCCGGCACACCGAAAGATAGAGGGTTCAATTCCCAGTCAAGCGCATGTATCTGGGTTACAGGTTCGATCCCCGTCCTGGTTGGGCTGTGTGGCAGGCAGCCAATCAATGTGTCTCTCTCACATCGATGTTTCTCTCTCTATCTCTCTCTCTCCCCTGAGCCACGTCACTCCCTCTCTTCCACTCTCTCTAAAGAGCAATGGGAAAACTATCCTCTGGTGAGGATTAAAAAATCATGAGGGTGGAGCCACCATGATGGGATCTGGGCCTTTACAACAAGAGGAAGAAAGAACTCTCTTCACGAGCAAAAAGCAACCATGTGAGGACACAGTAAGAAGACAGCTGATGTGTTTCTCTCACATCAATGTTCCTCTCTATCTTTCCCTCTCTCTTCCACTCTCTAAAAAATCAATGGAAAAATATCCTCGGGTGAGGATTAAAAAAAAAAATTCTCACATTTTAATTACAATGAACAAGTATTCAAGTAATGAGAGACGTGTTTATCAGAGACAATTTCAGATTTAAGACAGATGCCGCAAAGGTTGCGTAAGCATAATTGAGCCAACAGCACCAGGAGGCAGCTGGAATCATGCGCTGAGCCGAGGGTGGCTATCTCTGGCTGGCTGGGAGACAGCGGCCACAGCAAGCTGTTCAAAGGGCACTCCCCAAGTGACCACATGTCAATAGTGCCTCCCTGCTTCTTTGGAACAAGCACACATAATATATGTTATAGAACCAGGAAAGGCTGAAGGACACGAGAAAGTGTGCACAAAATAGCTTAGAATGTCCCTGCAGGAACACCCCACAGATGTGCCATCATCAACACTAGCCCCTGCTGAGTAGCTATAGGACTTGTATGTATTCTTTCATGGAGAGGTTTATTATCCTTCAACCATAAATTTGGACAAATAGCAACCATGTGGCTGGCATAAATGCTATGAAAATATCAACAATCAATTCAACGACAATGAACAAACAAGCACATAAAATTGGGTTTCAAAATAATAATTGGAGCAAAACAAGACAACACAGATTGCAAGCTCTGGGCCTAAATACTTTTTAAATTATGGGGAAAATGACTAACTTTCGATATATACATAATGAAACCAATTTTAATATGAAAATAATTTCCTGACTGCTGTGCCTACTAAGATAATGAAGCTTTCCCTAAACAAGTAAGAGAAAGGGAAATGAAGTCAGTAACTGGTAATACACACCAAGGCTCTTTCTGGTTCTGATTTGATTCAGGATTGCCACTGGGCCCTTCTCCGGCAAGTTAGCCTGGCGTGGGGACTCTACTTACACTTTCCACTTGCATGAGGGACATTCTACATAGTCGGTTCCACTCCAGGCCTGAAGCCAATAGATGAGCTCTCCACAGGCTGGCACTGTGGTCTCCTAAGAGGCTCATCATCAAACAAGCAAGCACACCCCCCCAGGGAGGCAGGCTTCCCTCTTATGAAAGTCCCAGGACCTGAAGACACTTTGCACCACTACTGAATTCCGCAGTGCGGCTGCCTTCTCCACTGAAGGGAAGAAACCCTGGTTGCTGAGTTAGCAGTGAAGAGAAGGCGCCCTGCACCAGGTGCACACAGCCCAGCAAGCAGGCATGCGCACCCCAGGAGAATGAAGCCAACTCTTTCAATCTGTCACTCCCCTAGGTTTTTTCCTGTAAATAATGTATATGTATACAAATAATGTATACAGACAAAGTCTGTCTCTTCAGAGTCAGGTGTGCAGCACTGACCGCTAACACTAGTGGTGAAGTGCAGTGGTAAATGTGACAACACATTTACCAAAAGATGCGGAAATCAGGCTCCAGTGATGGCTGAGCCTAGTTTATTGAAGAGCAATATAAATGCTTTCCCATCCATCATCTTACTGGCTCCACTGTTTCTATGTCAACTAGACCTATTAAGAGCACTCCCTTAAGTATACCACAGCTCCATCCAGCAAACTGAAACCCAAAGTGCCTTTAAGGAGATAAACAGATGGCCCAGGAGAAGAACTGCATAAAATATGATCAATGTAACGCAGACAAGGGAGGAACAAGAAAATAAGCCTGAATGCAGCGCTGCTCCTAGCGACCCTGGCAACACCTTCAACAAAGCCCGGTGTCAGGCAGTAGTGGCCAAGCAGGGCTTCTCAGCGAAGGGTGGAGAAAACTCAAGCTCTTTCCTTTCTGCAGTTACCCGCGAAGCTGGTCCCTCAGGCTCTGCAAAGGTGCTCCTCAAAGCCCTGGAATTCTACAATATCTGATTCCATCACTGTGAACCAAGCATGCTGGCATGGACAGGAGGCAGGCCCAGATGTCGACTCATGACCCAGAGCCTCCTTACCTGACTTGCTCCCAGGTCCTGGTGGCTAAGTGCAGAACCCAGAGATCCTTGTAGTGGTAAAACTGCTCTCCGTCAGGAGAAGCAAACTCCCCTCCAAAGATCCACAGCTGCCCACCACCTTGGGGCACCACCACAGCCTGTGAAAAGAAAGGTGGCAGGTCAGAGCAAAGCAGCACAGCTCTTGGCTGGCTCCACGGGTGCAGCCCAGGTTCTGCACCATCCGCCAGAATACAGCACGTGATAGTCCTGGCCAGCACCCACACTTCTGCCTTTGAGGGAAATTCCTGAAAAATCCCTCATCAACAAATCCTCCAAAGTCAAAATCTAATGAACTTTCAGGCACTCCTAGGTTGCAAAACTAACATCCACTTATGTTTAGACAACCCACATCCCATTAGAATGGACACAATTATGTCAAAAGTTAACATCTATATATATATATATAAGGCTAATATGCAAAGTGTCCCCTCAGGAGTTTGATTGGGAGACTGTGAGTTCGATCTCTTGCTATGACGTCGCACAGAACAAAGGGAGGCCCCGGCCGGCAGCCAGAAGGCCCTGATCGCTGGCCAGGCCTAGGGACCCTACCCATGCACGAATTTTGTGCACCGGCCCTCTAGTCAGTTATAACACAAGCTGACAGAGTATTTTCATTTTATTAAGTACCTTTAATAAAGCTATTTACCTGCCCTCATTAATCCCTTTCTTAGCAATTAAGCAGTGCATACCTAAAACCACACTCATGAATAAAACATGTTTAATATGTAATGTTTATGTAACATTATTAACATTCACTTTTTAAAGATTTAAGCATAACAGGAAGGCACATAGAAGCAGTGAGCACAATAGCCTTTGGGCCGCAGGTGCAGGTAGCTCTCACACAGAAGGGGAGAGAGCGGCACACAGCCAAGCCGACCCTGCACCACACCATGTAGAACTTTCAAGACCCACAGATGTATATTTCAAAGTATTATTTGGCTTAGAGAATATCGAAGTTTTCATAGAACAAAAATGGTCTACAAGCCAAACATTCTATAAACTAATGTGCCGATCTGAGGGGGAAAACTGGAGAACAGGGACTCCAGGAATTCACATCCTATGAGCAGAATGACACCTCACATTCCCAAGGTTACTCACTAATTTTAAAAAATGACAACAGCCAACACAACAATAGCCTTCAAGAGTGAATGAATCAAAATTATACCTATTTTTTTTGTCATATCAGCAAAAAGTATATTTTTTGGTGTGCTGCAGAATTTTAGTAATTAATTTATGTGTGCCATGAGATGAAAAGGTAAGAGAATGAATTTCAGATAAGAGTGGATCCTATTTCATGTGAAAAGAGCTTTATAGATGCAAATACAAGAGACACTGATTTGAAGAATTTTTTTTTAATTTTTTTTTTTAATATTTTTATTGATTTCAGAGAGGAAGGGAGAGGGAGAGAGAGCGAAACATCAATGATGAGAGAGAATCACCGATCGGCTGCCTCCTGCACGCCCCCCACTGGGGATTGAGTCCGCAACCCAGGCATGTGCCCCCAACCGGAAACGAACCTGGGACCCTTCAGTTCACAGGCTGATGCTCTATCCATCGAGCCAAACTGGTCAGGGCTGATTTGAAGAATTTTAAAGGCAATTCATACACTATCTAGTCTAGGGTTAAGCTTTTAGATTGGATTTCTTGTTGAATATGATTTTAGTAAAAACTAAAAAGTAACACACATGAAACTGGAACCCCTCCCCCAGAAATCAGGTTGGCCTCCTTCTTTCCCAAGGACACTTAGATCCCAAGCTCCGACTCTCATCTTAGAATGCCTGCCCTGCACCACTCTCCTCAGAGCTGCTCTTTCTGTGGTTTTACTGAAGACCCAGGACTCAGAGGCCACGGTGGAACCACCCACAACCGCCTGGACCATCCAGAGCCACACAACCCACTGGCCAGTGACCAAGAGAATCTCTGAGAAAGTTCAGTGACGTGCCATCTGATGAACAGCAGACAGTAATGCTGTGGCTGGGTTTATGGTCAGATGACTTGTAAACCACGTATCTGAGGAGACAAACTTCACAGAAATGACTTCTCCTGCAAGCGTGGGATGTGACACATGTGGGGTGTGACACTCAGAGAGCAGGCGCCGGGCCAGCCTACCCTGGGAGACACCAGCCACAGGGTCCAGGCAATGAAGAAGAAAATGCGATCACATCCTTCTCACATAGTGCATGTAGACAGGAAACAGCCAAGGAACCTTCTTGCCAAGGAGCTTGGAAATAGTGGCCACAGCACCTAGCACTGTGCGGCCGAGCAAGGGGACCTGGGTCAGGTGCTACTGGGCACCATAACGCTCCTGAGCATCCCGTGTTAACACCTACTTGCCCTCTCACACCTCCACAGAAAAGTTCTCACCGGGAGGGTTGGCCGTGGTTCTCAGGAGGCTCCATCCCCAGGCACCCAAAGCCCCATTGCAGTTTTGTGTGCATCATCTCAGCACAGATGACTGACTTTTAAAGGGCCAAGCCAGTTTCCTATCTTTCTAAAACCTCAGTAGTTCTATAGGAAAGAAACTGAGCATTTCAAATCTTTAAAGCAGACATGATTATTAGCTCAGGCCCAAACCTAACATTTTTTTAATTTAATGAAGCTAGGCCCGTGGTCAGCAAACTGCGGCTCGCGAGCCACATGCGACTCTTTGGCCCCTTGAGTGTGGCTCTTCCTAGGCCTTAGGAGTATCCTAATCCTATCTAATAAAAGAGAAACATGGTAATTAGCCATACATCCGCTACCCTTCCCATTGGCTAATCAGGGCAATATGCAAATTAACTGCCAGCCAAGATGGCGGCCGGCAGCCAGGCAGCTTGAAGTTAACATGAGGCTTGCTTGCTTCAGTGACAGAGGAAACCAACGACCCCCGCCTACCGCTGCTGGCCTCTGAGCTTGCAGTTTGAAACACTGTAACAAATATAGAAACCAAACAAAACCCCAGAAACCTGCTTTCAGAGAGCCGGGATCTCAGAGCTGGAGTTGATACAGTGTTTCGATTATAGAACCCAAACAAATCAGATAACTGCTTTCAGCAGCGGTGGCCTAAGAGCTGGAGCCAAACCTCAAAGCTAAAGTTGGCCCAGAATAAAAAAAAAAAAGAAAGAAAGAAAGAAGCAGTTGGGAGCTTCAGTCACCCGCCAGCCTGAAAACAGCCCTCAGCCCCTCACCCAGACTGGCCAGGCACCCCAGTGGGGACCCCCACCATGAAGGGTGTGTGACCAGCTGCAAACAGCCATCATCCCCTCATCCAGGCTGGCCAGGCACCCCAGTGGGGACCCCCACCCTGTCACGCGGCCCCCCACACGTGCACCAGGCCTCTATCCTATATAGTAAAAGGGTAATATGCCTCCCAGCACCGGGATCAGCAGAGCCGCGAGGCCTCCTGGCACTAGGAGCAGCGTGACAGGGGGCAGCGCCCAAACCCCCTGATCGCTCTGCGGCTCTGTGTGTGACAGGGGGCAGGGCCACAACCTCCCTATCCGAACTGCTCTGTTCGGGACAGGGGAAGGCACCCAACCCCCTAATCAGCCCTGCTCTGTGCCTGATAGGGGGGAGCTCCCCAACCCCCTGATCGACCCTGCTCTGTGCGTGACAGGGTATGGAGCCCCAACCTCCTGATGGGCCCTGCTCTGTGAGTGACAGGGGGCAGCACCCCAACCCACTGATCAGCCCTGCTCTGTGCGTGACAGGGGACGGTGCCCCAATCCCCCAATTGGCCCTACCCTGAGCGTGACTGAGGGTGGCATCGCAACCTCCCGATCCGCCCTGCTCTGTGCATGACAGGGGGCGGCGCCCCAACTCCCCAATCGGCCCTGCTCTGAGCCCGAGCAGGGGCTGCACATAGGGATTGGGCCTGCCCTCTGCCACCCGGGAGCAGGCCTAAGCCAGCAGGTCGTTATCTCCCGAGGGGTCCCAGACTGCGAGAGGGCACAGGCCAGGCTGAGGGACACCCCCCCTCCCCCCGAGTGCACAAATTTTTGTGCACCGGGCCTCTAGTTTTTAATAAGTGAAGTCCAACTCCAGGCAGGAAAAAAGACTGTATGCCACAGTTCATCTCCTACATCCCACCCCCCATCTGAATCACAATATCAGGCCTGTCACAGTCAAAAGTATAGGGACTACAGGAACGTGGATCAATAGTCAGTGATTTGAGGGATGTGTATTAACCTAGTCCTCAAAGAAAAAAGTTAACATATTATTCAAGAGAAAATTAAAACTATAAAGAGACAGGCATAAAAGACTTCCACTTCTGACCGGGATAGAGCAACCTGTACCACACTAGCCCTCCCACTATAAACAAGGAGAAAATTGGACAAAATCTATAACGGAACTAGAATCAGACAACAGGAAGTGTACGACTGTGACCCTAAGGACTGTAAATAAGAAAGGTGAGCCCTGTGACTCTGAAGGAAGTCTTTGCACCCTGGTGTAGGGAAAGGAGCCAACAGGACAGGTGATCTTGTTGAGCTGAGGAGACAACGGTCAGAGTTTAGGGATACTGAGGTAGCTGGAATTTGCAAGCAGAGTATTGGAGAGAGAGCACCCTAAAAATCCATGTGGGTGCCCTGGAGCCTTTGAGCACTAAGCTGCACATCTGCAGGAGATACTGGGAAAAGAATCACCACTGTGAGCCTGAAAGCTTGAAAATGATCTGCACTTACTCAGGACTTGGAGACAGGCAATTTCCAACCAGACATAGTTAAAGATGTCACTGAACTCCCGGGGCACTCAGTAGCGATCCCAGAAAAGATATACCCTAGGACTAAGCCATCTCTAAATAAAGTTTCAAAAGGATCACAATGATCTGCAAGTGCCTTAACCACCTGCCAAAACAAAACTCATGGTAATAGATGAAAACAAAATCCAGACAGTCAACATGCAGCATTCACAAAGTCCTGTATCTAACAACACAATTCTAGCGGGGAAATGTGACTGATAATAAGGAAAAAGGTCGCCGAAACCGGTTTGGCTCAGTGGATAGAGCGTCAGCCTGCGACTGAAGGGTCCCAGGTTCGATTCCGGTCAAGGGCATGTACCTGGGTTGCGGGCGCATCCCCAGTAGGAGATGTGCAGGAGGCAGCTGATCGATGTTTCTCTC